TGCCGTCCTGCCACCGCCCTCCTATTCCCCACTCTGTCTTCTCTTAATCAAGGCAAATGTAATTCCTATAAATGCTCCAAAATGGTTACTGAAAATCTGGCCATGACAACCTATAGAAAATAGACTATTTTAAAAATGTTGTATTAGTTTGTCATAATCAACCATTTTATGTGAATGAGTGCTTTACAGTCCAGTTACAATGCCTTCATATTTATACCATATCAATACAGTATTCAACTGGGATATAGAAATGTTATGCCTCTACATATATAAGGTGCAATGTATTCTGAGATTCTAAGTCCTGATATTTGCCTTGGAATCCCCCTCTTCCAAAGCTTTAATTTAAAAAAAGTGTCCATATTGTTGCAAAGTTAACCATGAAAATGTGTAAACTGAAGCAATGGGGCTTGCAGACTGCTTTTTGCAATACTTCTGAGAGATGTCAGTTGCCCAGTTCACGGGAATAGGTTGTTAATTTAAAAATCTAAAGTTGACAATATAAATAACAACGTTTAACTATTCCACAATAGATCAGTTTAGAGAAATACCTAGCTAAATGTGCTTACTGTATACTCTCAAGGGGTATGTCTACACGTGCACCCTAGTTACTCCTCAAAAAATGAGGAGTAACGTTAGTTCGAACCAAGGGGTTTGATTGGAACTAAAGCAGCCGGAGCGCACTTTCACTTTTGAATCAGCTGGCATTCAGAATAGCGTACGGCCGAGATTATGCTAATGAAACACGGGATATTTAAATCCCGGCTTCATTGACTACTTCAAATGCCTACATTTGCATTCCTAGTTCGAACTATGGTACAAGTGTAGACATACCCAAACCTTCCATACATATCTTCCTAATGACCGAAATCCATTGTCTCTCACCCAGCTGCCAAAAGTTCCAGTTTTTACAATGGAGCAAGGAATTGTCAGGGCAAAAACCTTTGATATATGAAAAAACTGCTAACGTGAGAGCAATATTTAATATACTGAATTTAAGGAAAGGGCACAACTCTGACATATTCCTTATCATATTTAATTCAATATAGCCCCCCTCCCTTTTAATGTATTTGTAACTGCCACCACTTTGCCACAGAATCCAGGCAAGCTACCACAGAGTGCATGAAGCCAGTATTTATTATATTACTATACTATTAAAATAAAAGATGTATTGTGACACCTGCATCTCCTATTTTCCAAAGACAGATTTCCTTATATAGAACATCACAGCCTTTACAAAAGTGGGGCAAGATTGTGATTTACCACTAGCTTGGAATAAGAAGCAACATGTTGCTGTTCCTCTCCAGAAGGAGACCAATGAATGAACTGAGATCAGGGCCAGACTAATAGTTTGTGGGCTCAGAGCCAAACATATTAGCCTCTGGGGGCAATGGAGCATGGTGCAGGGTTCTGTTCCAGTCCCCAGAGTGAGGAGTTGGTCAGGGACATGGCATGGGCAGCCTCACTGTGCCCAGACCAGTGCAAAGGTACTATTTACAAACTGACCATGGCCCGCCCGCTCCAGTGCTGTCAGCACACCCCATGCCACACCATGCATCACTCCTGCCCTACACCTGAACACCCCACCAATTCCTTATGCCTAGCACCCCCCAAACGCTGCCACAAATGCCCAGAGTCCTGCACACCACTACCCCTGCTCAGCACCCCCTTACCCCACCACAATTGCCCACCACCTCACACACCCACTGCCTAGTGTCCCCACACAGAGATCTTCCCTAACCCCTCACACCTCAGCATCCCCCGCTCCAAAGACCCATTCCCCCATGCCCTGTCTCCTGGGCTGCATTCACTGCCCCTTTGAGAGGTGATTGTGTCTTCTGGGCTGAACTGGCAGTGCATACAGGGCTGGTTCCAGGATGAGGACTTGACCCGGTCCCCTCAAGAGTGGTACGATCAGCCTGGCCAGCACCTGCCCTCACTAGGTTCCCTCAGAATCCACTTGCCTGAAGAGGCCCAGCCAAGTTCCCCACAATCTCCCACCCCCAACTGGCCAAGGCTTCTGTACCAGTACCAGGTGACTCAGTTCTACGGAGACAGGTGGGGCTTGACAGGTGGTGGGAAGCAGAAGTGCCAGGAGCCAGAAGTCAGAAGATGAGGCCAGGAGGTGAGAGGAGCCCTCAGCTGACCAGCAGGCAGGCAGAGAGGAGTAAGTGGTAGGCAGTGGGGGTGAAGCGGGTGCGGGGAAGAAGAGCCAGCAGGCTGGAGGGGCCTCAAGGCACAATGCAAGCAGAGCAGAATGTAGCCTCTTCTTGAGCATGGGCCTAGCTCCATCCAGCCATTGCAAACCCAACACTGACAGAGACAGAGTAAGTTTGATTTCTCATTTCCTTATTCCTCCTCCAGGGAGAGGTAATCTAAACTAAGACACCTTACTTTGCATAGCTTATTCCTCCTTCCTCCCCAGCTTAGCTGTGCTGGCTAGCATGTGTCATCATGGCTCTACTCTGTTTACCCTTTCCTTGCCCATCTCTGCAGGAAAGGGAAAATAAGTAGTCTATTAAATATTTGTAACCCTTGTTCCTTGATCAATGATACAAGTAACCTGTGGAGAAGAATAAAGGCTGTGTAATACCTCCTTACTCCCCAGCACAGGCTCAGTGAGTAAGTGATAATTTTGCATTAATTAAGGATGCTATCCTGGTTATACTAAAACTGCCCAAACTTTAGCAGAAATTAAAATAGATAGGAAAAAACAGTCGTTTTCTTTTATCACATTCCATTCTAATACTGCAGCTGTGTTCCTCGAGATAGGAGCTTGTGTAAAGGGTAAATAATATTGCACTGTACACGGTCTCTGTAAGTTTCCTTCACATATGACATTTTCTACATGTAGGGCAAAATTATGCTTCCATGGCAATAATGCCGCTCCACACAGACACTCATATTGACACCAGTGGAAGCTCCACACCTTGAACAAGATGCAGGAATCAGTGAGTGATCCTATGGGCTATGTCAGACAAAAGTTCTGATTAGACCATCATAATGGTTCTTCTGGCATATACTTTATGAAAGTAGTACCACATATGTAGTCTAGGTCTGCAGTACAGATCATATTAAAAATCCATAGTAAATCAGAGATAACAATGCCCTTAAACTTTAAGCTATTAGACAAATCTTGCACCCTGGCATTCCCAAGACATAGAATTGGCAATAGGTACACAACACAGCCTCACAGAATGAACGACCTATAGGTGACTGTGAAGCACCTGTAGGACTGACCACTTCTTTTGCGTACTGTGGTAGAATCTTTGACTTTATCCCACCTGAGTATTGGCAGATTACATCAGTACAACATATTCTCAATGCATCTGACTCAATGCACCAGGAGTCAGGGTCTTCCTTTGCTGTCAGTCACTTGAGAAGAAAGAATGAGCCCCAGTCTCCTTGTCCAGCCAGTCCTCTCTCTCTGAGCTCCTCCTCTGAGTCTCAGTCACCTCCCCACTCCAGTTGCCATCTCTTTTGTTCAGTCAGTCTAGGTCTTTCTCCCTTAACCCCAGTCTGACGGAGCAGAGCAGGGTGAGCGGGTGCAGGCTGTGCTTGGGTTGCGGCCCAGCCTCCACTGTCTGCCAGCTCTGGCCCTGCAATTCCCGGCTGGGTTCTGCCTGGCCCGCATGATGCCTGAGTGCCACTGCCCGGCACGTTGGGCAGCCAGGAGAGCCGCCCCCTGAAATGGCTTCAGCAGTTTGCTCCAAGGGGCTGAAGGCACAAGTAGGTGGATAAAGTTCCCCTTGCGAACCCAATGTGAGACTGAACCTGGGTTTAATCGTGCTGGGTTCAGGAGCAAACCCCACTGAGGCTCTGAAGTTTAAACGTAGTAGGAGCCGGGCTGCCTGAGGGTCCAGCTCTTACTACATTTAAACTTCAGCGATGCAAGAGGGGGTAGCTCCCTTAGTTTCCAACCCCATCAACTAATTCTGTAGTCAGTAAAAATTCTATTGACTACACGATTAGCTAATTACTCATTTCTTAACATCCCTATGAAGAATTCATTATTAAATATTTGTTCCCCCTGTAGGTACTTACAGACTGATCAAATCACCCCTTACGCTTCTCTAAGTAAATCTTAATAGACTTAAATGTCCTGATCTATTGCTCTATAGTATTTTGTAATCCTTTAATCATTGTTGTGGTGCTTCTCTAAACCCTCTCCAATTTATCAACTTCCTTCTTGAATTGTGAACACCAGACCTGGTCACAGCATTCCAGAAGCTGTTGCATCAGTGTCAAATATAAAAGTGAAATATTCTCTCTACTCCATCTTGAGATTTCCCTATTTATGCATTCAAGGATCCCATTAGCTCTTTTGGCCACAGCATTGCATGGGGGTGCACTGTTTGTTCAATTAGTCCCATTTCCACCCACTAGATCCTCATCCGCTTATTCTCCCCTGCCTCTGACCTTCAGTTGTCTCCTCCCTTCCCTTGTCTCAGTCCCAGTCTACATCCCTAGGCTCCTCACCCAATCTCAGTCTCCACTCAACCCAAAAACACCAACTCACTCACAAGCTCCTTGGCCCACTCTTCCCATTCTCTTTCTCCTTGGCTTGGTCTCTTCCTAAACAACCTAGTTCTCCCCTTATACTTCCATTTCTCATCAGATCTATCTCTGCCTTTCCTTGATTTTCTCCCCCAACCCTTTATGGCTTTCTAGTCCCTGACTACCTTCCTCAGCTCATCATGCCACTTCAAATAGCCAATCTACTGAAAGTGCTATTTAATATGTTAAAAAGCATAAAATACTTGTATTTGTATGTCTGGTCTACTATATAATTTTGGCAAAAATAAACATGGAGAAAAATGTAAAATCTTTTTTGCAACAAAGCTACACATAATAAAGGCATTACTTTAGTGCAACACTAAGACTTTGCTTCACTCACTTACAAATATCTGTATTTGCAATGCATAGATTTTTTTTCTTTTAAAACATTTATGGAAAGAATGTTCCAGATAACATAACTTTTAAAATAATACAGATATATATACCTTGTTTAATTTGATAAAATACTCCAGTCCAGCTTCCAGAGGGTTAGTGTCACAGTTCATCTGTTAGAAAAATAAATATTTAATCCATTAATAATGGTGCCACATTGTTTTCACTTTGTGTTTCTAGTTTTCCATGTATTCCTTTTTATTTTTTATGTACAATGGTCAAATTCTTCCTTTACCCAAGTGCAATTCACTGAGAAGCTGCATGTGTGTAATTTTAAGCAAATGCTATCTATAATACAAAACACAACATGTTTTAACATACAAAATAAAATTACAACTCAATAAAAAATGAGACATCTTGTCAAAATAAAATGAAATGAACACAATCATGAACAACAGAGGCACATGCAAAATAGATGTTTTTGGCCAGAAATGGAATGAGTATTGCAGTTATTTTCGCCTCATAATAGTAACTTTCTCTATCTGAAATAAAATGCATCTAATTTCTCTCCATTGCAAATTGAGAAACCAGAACAAAATTTAACTTTTTTTATCTAGGTATGACTGAAACCTATATAAAAACATAGAATAGTAAAAATAACTGTTTTCAAACCTCTGCCCCCCAGGCTCGGAAAGCTTTTTCCAGCCTTAACGTATTCAGAGCATAAGTTCCAAAGTCATCAATTCCTTCTTCTTGGCCTGCTTCCATGATGACATTGTACAGAGCTGCAGAATCTTCTTGTCTATGGTAGAGTTCCCAACCCAATTCACCTGTTATAAAACAAATTAATCAAGTCTAAAATTAAATAATCCCAATATATTTAGTGCTAGCAATATTACTCCTCAGATGAGTGCTATGAAAATTAGGGCTATATTTCCCTATTACACAGAATTCATTAGTATGAGACTGCAGAAATTTCGCTGCTCCTCAGGAACTCTTGAAAGAATTGTGCTTCAGTGAATAAACAGTGGCACTATTTCTCTAATTTAAACTGATGATCCCAACCTGGGAAACAAAGGATTCAAAAAGAAGCGGACAGGAAAGAAGGCTGGTAAATTATCAACTGGTAAGTGACTTAAGTCTAAGTCTACTGGTATACTATAAAAACTGTAAGATGTTAACTACACCAACATGGACTGCATCAGACAGACCTCTGAATTTGGCCCAGTGTGGCAGAGGTGGACACAGAGAAAAATGAAAATAAAAAGTGACTGGCAAAGAAAAAAAGGGAGAAATAATAAAAATTAAGCATTTATGTTTTCTGTTTTCAATCCACTTTATAGATACTAATTTAGTACAAATTCAAAAGATATTCTTGAACACAGGTTTGCCACCAAAGATCACATTGTTTTCAAAACTGGCCTTTAGTTCTGCTAAAAAAAATGCGAGGGAGAGGTATTATTTTGTTTCCAAGATCTCAGAGATCCTTAGTTCCTGGCCAGAAAATGTTTGATAACCAATGTACCATTTCTCTCTCATTTATGTCTATTTATAATTTTATTATTCTAGTACTTTCAAACACATTATGAGTTCAATTTCCCCAACATAATTTTAGTCACTTCAGTTACTTCCCTAGCTGCCCAATTTTTTTCAATCTATTTTCCCTACCTCTTACCTGTATAGGATATCCTAATAGCAGTAGCAGAAATATCAGAAAGTTTAATATGTCTGGACTGAAGAAATTTAAATGCAGAATCACTAAGATCCTCGGTGGTCAGTTTCTGGAGAACCTTTCGTGCAAATGGACCTGCTACGCCAAGTACTCCCATCTCATCTGTAATGTTTTTAATCTTAACATTGTATCCACCCTTCAGTGCCTCCTCTTCTATCCATCTGCATGTGAAGGAGAAGAGATTTATTAACATTCTCATTCAGAGTAATTATTTGTTCCTGGGACCATAGTCCGTAGATTTATTGTAACATTCAAAGTAAGTGTTCAGTACGATGATGATAATTAAAACGTGTGTATCTCATGGTACTGTCTAGAGGCCCCAACCAAAGATCAGAGGTCTGCAGTAATACACACACACAGTGAAGAGCCCAAAGAGATTACCTATAAATATTCAGCACCACTTGAAAAGAAAAAAATAGGGAAGTCACGGGTATGAGGGAGTTATCAGATACACTGGCCAAACTACTTATTTTAACAAATTGATCTGGCAATTGCTAATATTTATTTATTACTAATCATGATGGGCCAAATCATAAGGCCTACTCCCAAGGAGGGGAGCTCCACATCAACATGACTGAGCCCGAGGATAGTCAGTGCAGTGTGAAGGAAGGCATAGTGCTCAGTCACTGCACCATCACAACCTGTGGAGGCCTCAAAAAGTATCAAGTGTTCGTGCAAATGAAGAGCTTTTGAAACTGGCATTGCTGCTGCTGTTGTTTTGCAGACAAGCACCTTCCGCTCTGGTTCCTTCTATTGCAGCCAGTGCTATCATAATAGTTGGACCAGAAAGGGTTGCAAGTGCTGCTATTTATTTCTGAGCAGGATCAACTAAAACGGGATTCTGGATCCTGATTCAATTACAACATTTTACCAGATTCTCCCTTCCAGACTCAAGTTTTCCCTTCTAGGGCACAATCAGTCCCAAAATAATCAAAAAGCCTAGTTCCTTTAAACAGCATATCCCACATTCTCCTGTTTTCATGGAAGCTTCTTCCCCAGTCTAATTCCTCCTTTTTCCATTTCTTCCTTGGTATATGAAGCAGCTGGGCCTGACAGGCCTTCTACCCTTTTCTCCCTGATTCCTGAATCTCCAGAAAAGTACAGAAAAGGAAGGGGTATTTTAGTATTATTCTTTCCCTGACCCTTCATTACAAAGCCAAATTAATAACTGGTGTAAGTTAAGATTTTTTTGGGGGGGGGTATAGGATAACTGCAAGATTGAGGCAGTTTAGTACAGAGCTAGAGATGGAGAGATTTTAAAAGGTGAAATAGCAGTTACAGAATAAATGATCAAAAGTGTCAGATGACTTAAAATGGGTCTTTAGGTCCAGAATATGTGTAACCACACTGGCAGCAAAGATAAGTGACTAGTAAAGTAGTAATCATAAGAAATCCCTTAACACAAATTCACATTCTTGATGTAATAATAAACCATAGATCCCTCAGCATATTTAATTACATTGCTAGTGAAAAGTTCAGTTTTGACTCTCAACAATTTCTTTCATGATGTTCACAAAATAAATTAAGAAGGTAGTATTCAAAATCTTATAGTAGATAGTCTGATAAGTTTTCTTAAGCAATCCCAAGGCATAGTTGGGCGACCAACTCAGGCTGTTGAAGTTCTTTACAAATCAATCGAGTTGGTTCTGTTAGCCTTATCCAAGTTTAGTACCTAGTTATGCAAGTATTCCCATTGTTTCCAATGGAACGATTCACAGAACAAGTCATCATAATAGACCTACCTACCTACCTATCTAACTACACCCTTACCTCAGATCATGGAGCTCTGACCCAGAACCAGTCACCAACAAAAATTCACCTGGAGACAGGTGAGAAACGGTTAACTCAGCATAGACTTGGCCTCTTGGTGTTAGCATGTGACTTATATTTGTAGAACCCACCTACACAGAAGAACATATGATAATTTAATTTGCAACAGAAATCCTTTGCCACTCTTACATGTCTTTAGTGCAAAATGTGAAAACAAAATACTTATGTACATCAGTTATACAAAAATCTTTAACCATATAATTTATGTTACAAAGTATGACTCTCTCTCTCCTGGGTTTTACCTCATTAATGGAAGATTAATGTCCTTTGTTCAGGATTATGATGTATAATGGAAATCACATTTTTCATATGAAAAAAATTAAAAACAGGAAGCTTGAAATAAAGATTTGGTCAAGATCTTTATAAATATTTGTTATGTGTGTTACAGAATACTTTCTCATTAGATTTCCAATTCAAATTCAATTTTATTGTTATGTTAGCCATCCGTCAAAGACAAAAATTGTTCTTGCCTTAGTCACACAATTGTTCCCATAGACTAGAGTCATGTAAGTAAAGCATGCAGGGTTTGGTACCAAAAAGAAGTGTGCACCACAAATTTGCCAAAGATGTCAAAAAGGTGTTTTACACTGAGTTAATCCAATATAATCTGCCCTGGGTATGGTCTTGACCTAGCAAAAGGTCTCCTTTGACATAAAGGTTTTTTAAGAGAATTCCTCTTTAGTGTTTTCTAAAACTTCCTGTTAGATGAAATATAAAGATGATCAGATTATTATGCCTCTACTTCTGGGTTTCCCATTTCTGAAATTCTTCCAGAGTTCCTGCCTTTGGTTAATAAAATTATCAGAGTCCTGTTTACCTTTGGAATGACATTTGCAAACAGATGATCCAACAGTTTAACTGAATCATTCCCTTTGACAATAAACTTGCCAAATGGTGTCAGGTCAATCACACCAACTTTTTCCATAACCTGCTTATATTCACGACCTACAGGTTCAAACCAGTTTGTGCGCTGAAAACTGGGTCTGAAACAGAGTATTTAGGCACATAAAACATAGAATATGCAGCTGGTTATTTACAGTCTAGCCATTCTGTGATCTATTTAGCAAAATATATTCTAAAATTCTTTTTTTTTTGCAAGTCATTCAAAAGCATTAGAACCTAAACTCTCTTAATTTAGGAAGTTTATCCATTATTTTCTTCCATTTAACAAGGGGCTAAATATTAATTCGTTTAACATGAGAGTCAAAAACAAAATTGGCAACAGAATAAATTGTGAAACAGTTTGAATCGTTAAAAGCATGAGAAAACATTTCTAGTTCTTCATTAATTAACCCTGGGTAAATTTACTGCTGACTTTGCTGAATCCTTTATTATAGGTTAGATTGTAGAAGGCTTTATGTGGCTGCACAGGGAGGAGTAGGGCTTTCATTACACTCCTGCTGAGCCTTGCTCAAATTGTCACTCAGCTGAGGATGGGAAAGCAGGGCTACTTGCCTGAGGTCTCCCACTGAAAGCAAACAGGCAGGAGATGCAGAGCAGAAGTGTGGGGAGAATGCTAGGTCTGTTGCCCTTACTCACTGGTTACACCCGTGGTATCCAACCAGTGCTGAAGCAGTAGCAACTATAGTGGCCACTGCTATAGCGAACTAGTCACACTGAATTGGCCAAATAGCCACATGTGACTACTGTGTTGGACACCACAGGGTTACACAGAGTGAGTAAGTTTATTCCGTGAAAAGAGGTGACATAATTCACTCACTGCAGTGCAAGAGGGGAGTAAGGGAGGAAACGTGACCCCTGATCTAGAGCCATTAGTAAACATATTTTAAAATATAGGTAACAAAATCAGAACAGCTAACAGAAAATTGCTAACAGAAGAATTGCTTCTTAGACCTTCAGCTAAACTGACTGGTAAGTATGGGTATGTCTACACTACCCCGCTAGTTCGAACTAGCGGGGTAATGTAGTCATACCGCACTTGCAAATGAAGCCCGGGATTTGAATTTCCCGGGCTTCATTTGCATAAGCGGGGCTCTGCCATTTTTAAATCCCCGCTCGTTCGAACCCTGTGCCGCGCGGCTACACGCGGCACGAACTAGGTAGTTCGAACTAGGCTTCCTAGTTCGAACTACCGTTACTCCTC